ACAGCCTACAGTATTTTTAGTCTTTATTTTACAGTTAAAATATATGTTTATCAAATAAAGTCTAATGTTACAAATAATCGGGGATCCCTTTAAGACAGTTGATATAAACCTTAAAGGAGTTCAGATTTGTTTTTAAAACTAAATTTCCAACCAGTCTGAAGGAAAGAAGTTCTTCAATTCAAGGAACATGATTGGAATAATCCAGGGGAAATGTTTGTATATTTAAGAGAACGATAAAGATTAGTTTGTTGAAGAAATATGATATATAATATGTGTGTGTGACATGAATTGTTGTTCAGGAAGGACCTGATATTGGTTTTTGTTTGAATTTAATTTTTTAGAAAAAATGGGAACAGATATATTTTTTTCTTCTTTTTGCTTCCTCTCATTTCATTTATGAAAAGTTTTTTTTTATTGTAAACAGATTTTCTTGTTTTTTTTTTATGACTGAATGAATAGAAAATAATATCTGCTGAGAACACAGCTGTTCCTGCGTTATTGTACATTTCTGCATCAGACCCTGCTTGCTGGGCCTCATGTCTTCTGTAACTCTACCTGAAGATGACTCGCCAGTGTTTGTTCTCCTTCTACTCACTCCAGACCGGAGATACGGTTTCCCTCCAACACCTTCCTCCAGACCTCGGACACTCCTCCAGCCCTCTGCACTCCCACCACTATAACAGCCAGCTGGCCCGCAAACATGACAGCAGTCTGAAAGACGTCTGTCCAGATGACAGCCTTCAAACCGCCCTGAGAGGAACACATCACAGCTTCAGACAAAGATCATTGTATCATGTGAAACTGATGTTTGTTTTGGTGCTGTTATTCAGTCTGATGTTACTGTGAGCGTTGTAGTGATCTACTGGACAACCTTCATCCTCCTTACATCAAATGTTAGCTGAATATATGTAAGAATTATTGAATTAGAACCTTTTTATTGTGCTTCAGGATGATTAGCTGTGATGACCACTATTTGCTGCTGGAAGTTTCTTCCTGGTTTTCCTACTACTGCTGTCAATGTTCTGCTCAGGATGGGAGACAGCAACAAAGTGAAGATTCAACACATTCTGCTAGTTTCCTTAAAGGGATCCATGATTAGTTGTAACATTAGACTTTATTTGATAAACATATATTTTAACTGTAAAATAAAGACTGTAAAAATACTGTAGGATGTTTAGTTTTGTAAATTTTTAAAAGCTTTCTGGGTAAATGATGACGTGGATAGGTCCTCGGTGCGAGGCTGCTAGCGAGC